TTCAGTCCCATGCAGTAAGTTTTTATTGTGTCTGTGCTAAGGCAAACCAGCAGTAGTGCCTAGTACAGCCCTCATAATGTTCAAGGCTTTTCCTTCTCACTTATCTCTTCCTAGCTACTTGATGGCATCACTTTTGATTAGAGTGGCACCAAAGATCCTGAGACCTGCCGTGTCCCCTCTCCCCATACTTTTCTCCAGTGTGCAGAACTGTAGCACCGTTTCTCTTACAGCAAACTCCCTAGGTGAGAGCTGCTCTCCACGTTTCTCTTATCACTTTTCCTTGTTCATTCCTCAGCTGCTGCAGGGCCCAGCATGCCTTCAGGTGCCCTGGAATCAGCCTGTTCCTAGCTAGTTGCTCCCAGTGCAGCCTCATGAGCCTGTTTCCTGGAGCCTGACTCCATTGGCAACTGCTCCGTGGGGGTCAGTTGCTGGGGACCCTCTCTAGTCACGCCACTCCATTCCTTTGAAGCTCCTGACACATTGGGCACCACTCTGTTCACACTTTTCCTGGTATATCAAAGGTAGAATTTGAGTAGCGGGCCACTGGGCTCTTTGTCACTGCACTCCTACCTCCAGGATACAACTTTCTCTCTCTCTCTCTCTCTCTCTCTCTCTCTCTCTTCTTGCTTACTGCGTTTTAACATTAACTCTGTCCTTAGGATGCACGTGAAAAAGCAGATGAACTGTTCCCAAGAAACACTGGACAATACCCCTAATCTTCCCAGATATCTAGCTTAAATTAGGGGACACATTCATTCTCCCTCACCTAGGATTAAGGAAATGGGCCTGTAAATACCCTGACCAAAACATGACCAACATGACCAGAAACTTCAGATCACCTACTTTCTAGTGGTATAGAATCTTTTCTGATTTCCACACACCAGCAGTGGCCACCGAGGCAAATAGAATACCTATTGGCCATTTGGTTATGGCACCCATGCCCCCTATACCTGAGGAGGTTATATTCATGAGTTTCAGGCCCTTGGGTTCATGCTCTTCTCTCGGTGGTTCTGGACCTTGGTGATGGACACACGGAAGGTGCCATCAGTAACAAGTGTTCTTCTAAGGAAAGTTAGATACAACTTACCTGCAAGTCTGTTACCCAAAATGAGTCAACCTTGTACCTTATTTTTTACATTTCCGCAGCTGGTAAAGTTTCAGATAACTCTTAACCCATCATCTGTAATCCTGACCTTGTAAGGATAGAAGTACCACACCTCTCCCCCTTGCCTCTGCTCCCCACTTCAAGTTTCCTGGATTCTGAATTTCTTACACTTCTTAAATGCACTGTGCTTTCTTATACCTTGTTGCCTCTGCTCATCCTATTCTGCCTAGAAAGTTCTAGGTTGGCTCGTCTGACTAGCAAACATGCAGGCATTTTAAAAACCACAGTACCTTTGATGTCAGGCACCACTTAAGTGAGCTCACCACTCCCTCCTGTGTGCCACCATTGTGCCTTTTACATGCCTTGATTTCTTCCCCATCACGTCATGAAATGTCTTGTCTTCTTTATTGGATTGTGCACTTCCTAGTAACAATGACCAGAGACAAGAATTATTCATTTAACTGTGTACCCCCAGTACTAATAATTTCAAAAATATGTGAGGTGCTTATTGTTTATTGCTTAATTGAAGAAAGAAGTCCTAATGGATTGCCAGACTGAAACCAAGCCCACAACATCTGATGATTCATCACATCCCCTAAGCCTAGCACATAATAAATTCTTTGTACATGTTTCTGGGATAAAGAAATGAAATGACTGAACATATTTTGAAACCAGCAACTTTCTTGTTCACTTCTGATTTTTCTGTGATCAGTACTTTTCCCAGTGAAAAATCAACTTCCTTCCTCAAGGCTCCATTCTGAGTTCCCAGAAGTTTCTTTATCTCCAGTTCTGCCACATCCCGCCTACCTGCTTGTTATCTGAATCTGGATTTTCAGAACAGATAGAGTTTTTACAATAGGCAAGAACTGAAGAGCAGATGCTTACGAACTGAATGAGGCATCAGAAGAGGCTTCTTTTTAACATAGATAAAATTCTGGTCCGGTTATGTATTGAAAAGATTGCCCATAATAATATTTGTGGGAGGGTTTTATAAAGAGGTGAATGTACAGTATAAATGAATAATATAATGCATTAGGATAATAAAGTTTGAGGGCAATAAATCTTTGAATTTACCCAGCTCATTCTCCTTGGAAGCTCAGAGAGTACATTTGTACATCTTTCTATTTGATATTAATTTTGGTTGAGGTCATCAATATTTCTCAGAGTGAGAGAAATCCAAATAATTGTAGATACTAATATTTAGTCAGTAAGAACTTAATCTTGAGAGGTGTACCATTTATAATTAAAATAGTTAAAAGTTAGATTAATTGTGAATTTTCTTTAGGGTCAGAAACAAAAGTACAAAATGAAAATTGTACTTATCATGTCTTGAAACAAATATACTAGAAAAAATTCCTTAAATGTGTATCTTTTTTTTCCCCTAATTAAAGTTAATAATCCTCTGTGTCCCTTTATAAAACAAAAAGCCAGAGCTCCTTGTCCTCATGTTTGTTAGGTCACCGAAGGAGGAACGCACGAGGCCAGAATGGTGAGGGATTATGAATTTATTCGATCACCCGCACACCAGGTCGCTGAGCTTGGATGGCTCCAGCCCCCAGTGACAGGAGTCAGCAGGTTTTAAAGGACTGTTGGCGGCGGGCTTTTTCTGGATGGAGACTTCCTTATGCATACCCAGAGGGGAGAGAGTAGAATGTGGTCACCACAAGTGAAATGTGGTCTCAGCAAAGGTAATGTCCATACTGAAATGACCTCAAAAGTCAGTTCCTGGGAGAGGGATATTGATTCAATTGCTAGATCAAACCCAACAATGTTTAATATACAGAGCAATGTAATTCACAAACTTATAGAATTATATGAATTCATGGAAAAAGCACTAGTATACTTAACTTCCATTGAAGTACTGTAAGAATAATTTAAGTGAGAAGGGGCATCAGGTTATATTAAAATTAAATTATTGCTTTAGTATTTTTCCTTTGAACACCAGTAGTAAAAAAAAAAGAAAAAAAGAAGGAAAATGGGCCCAGCTGGTGTTGCAGGCTCCATCTCAGTTGGGGGTGTAGAGGAGGCAGCCAGTCAATGATTCTCTCTTGTCATTGATGTTTCTATCTCTCTCCCTGTCCCTTTCTATCTGAAATCAATTAAAAAGTGATGTAAGAAAAACCCAAGGTGGTATATTAGAAAGAGTAATGGAATTACAGTGGGAGTAAAGAAGTGGGTTCTGAATTACGTTCTGCTATTAAGTAGATCTTTTCATTAGTTAATTCTGTACATTAAATGTCTCCCCAAGTGGATTTGAACGCGATAGTCCCTGATGATAAGCAAAGGGGATTATTTCTTTCTGGGGTTGAATCAGGTCATCATAAAGACATATTATTAGATTGATTATTTCACTGTGATTCTACTTTATTAGATCACACAGAGGATTTTTGCACCTGTTCCTTCTGCCAATGCCACCTATCTTTAATACCCCTGTAGGAGCTCTGAGAGGACCACACTTTATCTTTGATACACTTTTTTTTTATGTCTGCACAAAGCTGAGGGTGATCTCTCCGGGAGGTTGCTATGACAATTTGCAAACAATAGGGATGATGGAACTCCGTGGGAGGTGGCCTCCTTCTGATCTTAATCTGCACTAGTTCAGGCCTGCAAACTTGGTCCATCCAGGGGCTGGCTGGCAGATGCCTGAGGCAAAGAGCATGAAGGATCCAGGTCCCCAGGAGAACTTCAGAAACTTGGCATCTCTGAGGAAGGAAATGCACAGCATAGCTCTTAATCCAGTCACCAAGAATCGCCAGCTCTTCCCCGCCCCAGCCCCCTCAAAGGCTGAAGTGACAAAACCTGTGACCTCTGGACAAAGGCATATATAACCCCCCCCCCCCACACACACACACACACACTCTACAGGGGGGTACTACCCTGTGAGTTGGGCGTACAGTTTTACAGTCTGCAAGGGGAGGACAGGCTGTAGGTAGAAGTTAAAAAGGCAGGGGAATTGTCCACGAGTCTTGGAAGGAATGGGATGAGAGGAATGAAAGGTGTCGCTCCCTTGCTGCAGCGGTTTAGAGGAAGGCGTGTGGCTCTGCCTGTGGCCGCGCAGGGGAAGGGCTCCGGAGTTGTAAGGAAAGGAGAGGTGTGTCTGGTGTTTATTTTTGCCTAGCAACCCACAGCCAACTGCTTCCCCAGCAGCCGTCCACAAGCGCCTCTCAGCCTCCCCCTGTCCGTCCTGTCGACTGGAGAGCGGTCACTTGGCGTCAGTAAACCGGGAGGGTGTGTGTGTGAGGTGAAGGTGGGAGGCCAGCCCCCTCCTTCGCCCAGGCTCGGGGTATCACCAGGCTATCCTGCGACCCTCCACCGGGGCTTGACTTACAGAGGTGACCCTCTTGCACAACTAAGTTATTGACCAGATACATTGGGGAGCAGCGGGGGTTGGCAGTGAAGCCACGGAAGGGGGGACCGTATTGTGTGGGAGCAGCCATTCGGTTAGAAAGCTGAAAATGCGTTTTGGCTCTGGGGGCGCGCCTACAAGAGGAGGGGTCTCTGCAGCGATCGTGGTGGGAGGCGAGCAGCGGGAGGGGGTGCTGTGGGGAGGGTGTGGGGGGCAGTTGCCGGGGCCGGGGAGGCCAGGGCGGGAGAAGGTCGCAGGCAGCGGAAAGCGGTGCAGATGGCAGAAGGGAGCGGCGGCGGCGGGCCAGCCGCCGAGGCTGCAGACTTTTCCGGGGAGCGGAGAGGGGTGGCCATGCAGATGACTGGGTGGTGGGAGGAGGGACTCCGGCGTGTGGCCGGGTGGGGGTGGGGTGTGCGAGAGCGTGTGTGGCGGGCCGTGGGGGGTGGGGTGGGGGGGAAGGAGGGGGGAGCCCGGGGCGGGGCCTGCACCCGCGGCCGCTGGATCGGGGGCGGGGACGGGGCGGCCATCCCTCCCCGGCCGCCCAGAGCGCGGGCGCCGGAGCGGGTGTGTGCGCGGGGGCGCGCGCGCGGGCCGGGAGGAGGCTCCCGAGAGCGAGAAGGTCCTCGCGGCTCAGCCCGGTCCCCCCGCCCCCCCGCGCCCCATGTGAGGGAACCGGGGAGGCCGGCGGCTCGGGGAGGGCGAGGCATGTGCACGGGCCGGCGGGTGCCGCGGCCGCCCGGGGACGAGGAGGACGGCGGCGGCGAGGACAGCGGGGCGCTCGCGGCGGCGGGCCGGCGCCGGGGCGATGCGGCGGGCGGCGTGTGCCCGGCGGTAGCGCACTCCAGGCGGCTCGGAGGCGGCGCTGGCGGGCTGCGGGCAGGGCGGCCCGGAGGCGGCGGCGGCGGCCGCCAGAAGTAGCAGCAGGACCGGCGGCGGGGACGGCAGCCTGAGATGCATTCTCTCCTCCAGCGGCCATGTTAACCAGGAAACCTTCGGCCGCCGCTCCCGCCGCCTACCCGACCGGTAAGCAGGGCCCCGCCGGCCCCAGCCCCGCCGGCCCGGCCGGCCCTCGTGGGACCGGGCCCTCGAACAAAGTCTGCGCCGCGGCGGCGGCTCCCCGGCGGGCGGCGCCGGCCTCGCTCCGCTCATTGTTGCGCGCGGGGCCCGGGCCGCTCCCGGGGGGCGCCCTGCCACCCCGCTGGGCGCGGTGGGTGCCTGGCCGGCCTCCCCCTGGGCTCGGCGGGCGAGGCGGAGGCGCCGCGGCCAGCGCTCCCCCCGGCGCCGGGCCTGCAACGTGGACCGCCCCAGCCGTGCCCGGCGCGGGGTCGCGAACTCGCGCCCCGGGGCCCGACTTAACTTTGCAGCCGCCCGAGCCCGGCCCTGGGGTGAGCGCCGCCGGGGACCTGCGCCCCGGACGCCCGGCTTTTCGGTTCCCGGGGAGAGCGGGCTCCGCCGTCCAGAGGAGGGGTGGGGTGGGGTGGGGCGGGGCCGCGGGGTCCGGGTGACTCTCCCCCCGCCCTGACCCTCTTTTGTCTCCTCCCGCGCGTGGCTCCCAGGCCGAGGAGGGGACAGCGCCGCCCGCCAGCTGCAGGCTTCCCCCGCGGCGCTCGGAGCGGGGCCCCCCCGGAGCGGAGTGGGGACCGGCCCGCCCTCGCCCATCGCCCTGCCGCCCCTCCGGGCCAGCAACGCTGCGGCCGCGGCGCACACGGTGAGCCCCTGCCCGCGGCGGCCGGGGGGTGGGGGGCGGGCGGGAAGGGTGCGGGAGGGGCCGGGGCGGCGGGAACGCCTGGACTTGTTGGGTGCTGACGCCAGAGGAGAGAGGTCCCAGTGCGCCCCTGGCCGGTGGCCTCCCCTGGACGCCGCCCTCTGGACCCCGGGCGCGCCCGGAGGAGCTGCAGCCACAAAGGAAGATGCGTGGCGTGGGCCCCGCACTTCCCCTCCGGAGCCCGCCCACCCCTGCGCTCCTCTGCCTCGGAACTTCCCTCCTTGCTGCTTGCCTTCTCTTCCTTCTTTTCTTTCTTTCTTTCTTTTTCTTTTTCTTTTTTTTTTTGGCCTTGCTTCTTCCCAGAGCTCCTTTTCCCCTGACCTGGTAAACATCTCTCCTCCCCCACGTCGGAGAGTGGGTATTTATAGAAACAGATCTGTGTTCCGGGGACAGCCAGACAGTCCTGGCCGGAAAATCGATTCCCCCCCCCCCCCCCCAAAAAAAAGCCTCCCATCCCAGGCCTGGCTCCAGCCTGCAGGGAGCACCCTCATTTGCCCTCCGCGTGTGGAAGCATGTTTTATGAGTGCTACAGGTTTGAGCACAGCAGCAATGGTAATTAACATTGACAAACATGTTAAGCAGGAGCAGTCAGAACAACAAGCCTCCCGGATGGATATGTGAAAGCGGAGGGCAAGGGCACCTGATGGATGCTGGGGTCCCTCCGAGGGCCAGAGGGAGGGGGGAGAGAGCCCTGTGGGACTGGTGGCTGCAGTGACTGGCCCGGCTGGGTTTGACTTCAGCATGTGCATGGTCTCAGCTCATGGCCCTTGGACGGACGGTGCCCGCCAGCCTAGAGGTGGTGTGGGCATTGGCTGAGGTGGAGGTCCCAAGGTCTTTTTTCCCATTGGATCTTCCTGAGGAACTGCCTCAGGTCGTTCTGGTTGAGGGATGCTTGCGAAGGATGGAGCTCTATCACGTGGAAGTGGAGTGTCCATGTCTGGCCCCCAGAGGAGTAGCTCTGAGGGTAATGCATTAATGGAGAAACTTGTTTGTTAGGGGAGGATGGCCAGAGTGGAGTCTGTCCTCTGAGACCCGGACAGATGTGCACAACTTTGACAGGAAAACGTTTTGTGGTTCGTCTTACTCGTTTCTCTCTTCCTTTGTCTTTCCCGACACATCCAGACACAGAAGTTGAACTGGTTTGTGTTGGACCGTTGATGGTAGAAGAGAATCTGCCAGTAGGCTGGGTGGTTTCTTACGGTTGCATGTTCTTGTCACAGTGACATTTTACTTGAGGAGTTGCCGTTGTTTTTAAGGGTTTGGGCTATTTGGAATCACCTGACAAGTGGGATATCATAACATCCATTTTCCCATGTGTGGATGTAATCATGTGACTTGGGGGGGTATATTTGGTTTGCATCAGGATTCCAGTTTTATAGGGTTGGCTTTGCCTGACCAGAGCCTCTTTGCAATTGAAATGTGTCATGGGATTAGGGAGAGCTGGAGGAGTAGCCTGCGGTTGCCCAAAAAGGAACAGATGTGAAGATGCTTCTTAGGACTCCTCAGGAGGGGTGCTTGTGTTTGCTGTGGCATCTGATTTACCTCGTTTTAACTTCCCTGTGAACTTCAGTAGGCTGTTGATCATTAGAGGCTTGGTCTTTGAAAGTGTGATTTGGAGCTTTGTTGTTTAATTTTTATTTTATTTGCACAACACGGCAGATTTCCTTAGAACAGGGAAGTATAAGAGGACCACGTCATTTATGTGATCCTACTCCTTCACTTTACAGATGAGGATACTGACACGTTAACTGGTTTGGTCAAGATTCCCGTAGCAAGGCTGGAGCCCAGGCCAGGCCTTCCTGATTCTAGCATTGACATACTGCTTGACACGGCTAATTCTAGGAAATGGTATTAATTTCATTATAAATGTAGGAACCTTTGCAGATCTATATCCCCATATGGCTTTTAAGGTTTTTGTAAGTGTTTAGTTCCACAGCAGTTGCAGCTGGGAAAAGCTGGTATAGAAGGAGTGGGGGGAAAGGGCATTAATGAGAGGAAAATAATCTTGTCATAGGAGCCTGCCCATATTTTCCCTTGTAAATAACATAGTAGGTGGATAAACATATGATTATAAAGATTATGAACTTTGGAATTTATCTAGTACATTGCCCTGTGTTTCCTATCTCCATGGTTATATTATTGCACACTTAGTCATTTTGTTTATCTCTGTACTGAAAGTATATCTAATAACTATTTTTTTAAACTACTAGGTGTGTTTTGTGTTTTTTTTTTCATGTGGCGTGGACAATATTAATATACTTAGTGTTTTTTTTAACTCCCAAATATTAGTATGGTATCACTTTTAGAAGTGTCTTAATGTTTAAAGCATTTTCAAGGTGCTAATTTACCTTTATGAAGTAATTAGAATTGAAGAAGAATTAAACATGCTTTTCAAAACAGTAATAACTTGAAGAAGTAGACATTTGACTCAGGGCCCCACAGACCTTCACTTGTTTGAGGAGGAGCTAAAATTCCAATCTTTTGGACTCAGTTCTATTCCCATAGCACTATACAGCATTTCTAAGATGACTTCAGAGAAGTTTTTAAATGCCCAGAAATGTCAGCACAGTGTAATATCTGCTGTTTTCCATTTGATCATAGGGAGAGATTAAAACTACAAAACTGGTGAGTCTCTTGTTCTTAACTAATTTCTGATGTCTGTTTCGTGGTCAGAGAAGGCTGCGGTAGGTCCCTGCATTCTAACACTTGCATTGTAGGTATCTAACAATTGTATCCTCTCAGTGTACGTTTCAAATGTGGCGGGCACTGTGCTAGGAAAGCATTGGCAAACAGGAAGAAGCCACTGTCTCGGGCTTCACGAGGCTGAGTGAGAGTTTTCAGGGTCCTTCAGTGTATGGTGCTGTCCTGGCATATGTGTTCTGGAAATGTCTTGGCTTTTCTAGGGTCTCCTCCCCTCTTTACAGACCAGTCAATGGTGCTTCCAAATTTGGTTTTGATGTTAAGAGTTTTACAGAGTTTGAGATTCAGAGTCCGCCTTTCCTATGGATTTCTTAACACCTGGAAAGTTTTTAAGGCACCACATGTTGCTTTATCTGCTACAGGTTTATGTATCTGCTACAGGTACTTTGTAACTGCTGCCATTTGCCTCCAGGTCTCCCCTGATGTGCTACAAGCTTACCATCTTATGACTTGGGTCATCAGGGACAATTTGCAATTCCCTGGGCATTTACTTCATGTTTTCTTAGGAAGGTACAAAGGTACTTCTCAAGAATAAGGCAGCACCAAAGGTCTTGTGTGCCTGCATATAAGCCTAACCAATGGACACAGACACCAGGGGGGTGAGGGCATGAGTGGGGGGTGAGGGAGGCAATGGGGGATGAGGACACATACATAATACCTTAATCAATAAAGAAAATAAGAGACCTGTGGCCGAAATCAGTTTGGCTCAATGGATAGAGCGTTGGCCTGCGGACTGAAAGGTCCCAGGTTCGATTCTGGTCAAGGGAATGTACCTTGGTTGTGGACACATCCCCAGTAAGGGGTGTTCAAGAGGCAGTTGATCGATGATTCTCTTATCGATGTTTCTAACTCTCTATCCCTCTCTCTTCCTCTCTGTAAAAAATCAATAAAATATATATATTAAAAAAAAAAAAAAAGAGACCTGTGAATAAAAAACAATAATAATTCAGAGATGTGAGTTAGCAAGGACATATTGACATGCCTTTTTCCATTCAATAGATGACTATGAGTGCTTACTGAATGTCTGGGTTTCTATCAATAGGGACTTTAAGAGATAAGAGGAACCCTGCCCTGGAATGGCTCACAGCTGGGTGGGTACACCAGATGATAAAAGAATCGCAGTAAAATGAAGTATGTTCCAATCTGTCAGCACAGTAGAAGGGAAAGGGAGTTTCACAGAGGAGGTGAGTGTTAAACTGGACATTGAGGGTTGAGGAGTTTACTGCTTAGGTGTGGTTAGGAAGGAAAGGATGATGCTAATAATAGTTCTTCTTTACTCAGTACTACCTTATCCTCCTAATGGCCCTTCTGAAGTATCTTTGTTACCTCCTTTTTACAGATAAGGACATTGTGGTTCAGAGAGTAGGTACTTTGCCCAAGGTCACAGTTAATCAGCAGTGAAACGGACTCATTTCCCATGTGTCTGCTTGAAAATCCCTGGACTCCTCACCATTATGAGAATAACTTCACCCAGAGCAGAGGAGCATAAGAAAACAGTTGTGCTTGCACAGGTCTTGGCGAATCCGGCTCTCTTACCCTTGGAGAGAATAGTGTGAGTTGCAGATGACGGTGGAAGGACTTGGATCCTTAAGGCTCTATGCTTTGGGATCTTGTGTTCTTGCCTGTGAGTTCTTGTACTGTCTGTGGAAATGGGTGCAGTTGTGGGCCTTGAGCGAAGGCATGCACAGTGTCAGAGTGACTCTGTTGAATAGTGACTGTAGGAGTACTATGGAGAGAAGAAATTTGAGGAACTCTAGACTTAGAAGCAAGAGGTCGAGTTACTCAGTTTGAGTTGTCCCCGTGAAAGACCACAGGGATGTGGGGGGAGACAGTGTGGGATAGAGGCTTAGGATGACTTGGGAAGGTGATGGAGACCTGGAGGAGGATATCCAGGTGTAGAACCTGAGTGAAGATGTGGAGGTGAAGTCTTTTGTTTAACAGAAATTGACGATGAGGGAAGGAGGACATAGTTTTGGCAGAAAAACCATGAGTTGAGTTTGAGTTGCCTGTGGGAAAGGCGGCTGTTTTGTGTGTGGACATTATGGGTCTTGAACTCAGGAGACATGGCTTGGGCAGGTCTGAGTTAGAGGCGTAGCTGTGGCAGGTGTCAGCCTTCCGGTGGCTGTGGTCACGATGGACCAGGAGAAGCCACGGGAGTTGTGGCTGGAACCCTGGGGAACCCTTGCACCCGCCTCTAGGTAGGTGAGCTGAAGCTGTGGAGGAGACCAGAGAGGATCGTTGGATAGATAGGAAGTGAACAAGATAACAGGCAAGCTCTCTGTAGTACTAGTCATTAAACTGATTATTTTTTTAAATTATGCAGAACATTAAAATTGCTATTGCAAAAACTGATGTCAGTTTCAGGCGCTCATATGTTTTACTTGGCCATCTTTTTAGGAATTCCTAAAGCCCCAAAGTTAATTTTGTCCCTAATGAGACCTCACGCTTTTTGTATAATAGCATGTATGCTGGTAATGTATGTTTTCTTTTGACCTCACTCCTTAAAGAGAATGGTTCTGATATTTCTAATTCCAGCTCCTGTTATTCCTGGGTGCTCGAAAGACCACAGTGGGGAGAGGGGTGCAGGGAGTGAGGCTTAGGAACAACAGCAGTGAGCAAACCTGGACTAATTTTGCATATACCTAAGGCTTTCCTCATTTTTATGGACTCCTTGCTTTTGGCATAGAACATGGAAAAACAATAACCTGCCCAGCTACCCTTACAAGAGTTAAGTCCTCTTAGCTTGGAATATCACCTCTGTATTTACTGAGATGTCTTCCAGAAGTCTGTCTGAGAAATAAAACCCCTCGGTCTGTGAAATCACATTCAAACGTGCTCGAGTACTGTGCTATAGTCTACTTTGTCTTGGAAGAATGCAGAGAGAGAGAAAGCTCACTGCTCAGATAGTCACTGTGCATGGCATATGTCAGTGAAAGAAAATTCGAAGGTCTTAGTCTGCGAAGGTCTTAGTCTGTGAGTAAGGTCTTGGAATTTCATTTTGTAGTCTAGGTGATTTCAAACCATTTCCTGCATTGTCATATATTACATTTGCAGAGCGCTTCTGTGCTTTTAGTGGTAGATAAAGCCCCAAAGGTAGGGCTTAGGAAGAGATAATAGAAAAAAAAAATACTAATGGCAAAGGACTTGAACGAGTTGATTGTAAGCTTGATGTTAGGGACTGCCACTTATGTGGCTAGACCTCAGCGAATGGTGGTGGGATGAATGAGAAGGATTGTGAAGGACAAATTGATCTTTACTTAAGATTTTATGTAAAAACCATCTAGCAGGGTGCTTTAAAATGTGTGGGTGGTTGTGTAAGGTGTCAGGAACTCCCAACTGGGAGTGGATCCTGGCTATGAGTCCTCTCCCACCCCTCACCTTTTTGCAATGATAGTGAAAAAAGAAAGAAAAATCCTAGTAGATTCTCAGTGGAGGTTGGGGAGTGGAGGAGGGGATGCCTTGGCTTACACCATTATTTTGTTTAGGCAGCAATGTTCAGGGTGGTATGTGTGCCTGAAAATAGAAAAGCTGACTATCCCAGCAGCCCAGAGAAATGCAGCTCTTCAGAGCGCTGAGCCATTGGCCAAAGGAAGGCCCCAAGAGCTGCAACAGTTGGTTTGTTGGGCTGAATGGCCTTAAATGGTCATCATAGTTAGTGGAGCCCAGAAACTTTTAAAAATAGGTTAGGGGTTTGCAGTGTGTATCGGCATGGTAACCTCTCAAGTCTGAATGCGCGGTGTTCTTTGCCACTGGATTGTGCATTTTCTTAGGTGTAATCAGATTTCCAAGGAGTGAAGACCGGAAGGAACATACCAGTGTTTTCAGAATAGAGCTAACTAAACAACGAAGAAAGAGAAATGGACAACACACAGACGTCCCTGTCCTGGGGCAATCAGGAGCTCTTTGAGGAGGCGGGAAAGGTGCTAGCATCTGGGGGCGGTGGAGCCAGGAGCGAGTCTCCATGCTCATGCATTTTTCTGTATCCTATTTCCGTACCAAGGGTGGATTGAGTGGAATGCCTGTGTTGTGCCAGTTCCTGTGCTAACTGTTAGGTATAGGATGATAACCAAGAATGATAATTCCCTGCCTCCACAGGAAATTATTCTAAGGAACCTCAGTATGTACAGCAAGCTGCTCGTCTCTTAAGTGCAGCATGTATGGGGTCCTTTGTTCAGGATCCCAAGGTTTTGTAGCCTTACCCAGCCAACTGACCTCTAGTTCCTCTATTTTGTCAGCATCGTATCCGCTGTCCCTGTCAGGGTGTTCCTGGGGTCCCTCTTGGGCCCTTTAGGAAACCCGATGCTAACTGTACATCCCAACCAAATTGGGTTTGGTAGAGGTGGGGGTTGGGGGCTGACTTACAAAATACCCCGTTTGAACAGACAGCCCTCTCCCATGCTATTCAATGTTTCCTTTCCGCATTCCAGATTGGTGGCAGTAAGCACACGATGAATGATCACCTCCACGTGGGCAGCCACGGCCACGGGCAGATCCAGGTGCAGCAGCTGTTTGAGGACAACAGCAACAAGCGGACCGTGCTCACGACACAGCCAAATGGGCTCACCTCGGTGGGGAAGGCGGGGCTGCCGGTGGTGCCGGAGCGGCAGCTGGAGAGCATCCACCGGCGGCAGGGGAGCTCCACCTCCCTGAAGTCCATGGAAGGTCTGGCGAAGGTGAAAGCCCCCCCGCTGACGCCCGAGCAGGCCATGAAGCAGTACATGCAGAAGCTGACCACCTTCGAGCACCACGAGATCTTCAGCTACCCCGAGATCTACTTCCTGGGTCCAAACGCCAAGAAGCGCCAGGGCATGACGGGCGGGTCCAACAACGGCGGCTACGACGACGACCAGGGCTCCTACGTGCAGGTGCCCCACGACCACGTGGCCTACAGGTACGAGGTCCTCAAGGTCATCGGGAAGGGCAGCTTCGGGCAGGTGGTCAAGGCCTACGACCACAAGGTGCACCAGCACGTGGCCCTGAAGATGGTGCGGAACGAGAAGCGCTTCCACCGGCAGGCGGCCGAGGAGATCCGCATCCTGGAGCACCTGCGGAAGCAGGACAAGGACAACACCATGAACGTCATCCACATGCTGGAGAACTTCACCTTCCGCAACCACATCTGCATGACGTTCGAGCTGCTGAGCATGAACCTCTACGAGCTCATCAAGAAGAACAAGTTCCAGGGCTTCAGCCTGCCTCTGGTGCGCAAGTTCGCGCACTCCATCCTGCAGTGCTTGGATGCTTTGCACAAAAACAGGATCATCCACTGTGACCTGAAGCCCGAGAACATCCTGCTGAAGCAGCAGGGCAGGAGCGGCATCAAGGTGATCGACTTCGGCTCCAGCTGCTATGAGCACCAGCGCGTCTACACGTACATCCAGTCCCGCTTTTACCGGGCCCCGGAGGTGATCCTCGGCGCCAGGTACGGCATGCCCATCGATATGTGGAGCCTGGGCTGCATTCTGGCGGAGCTCCTGACCGGGTACCCCCTCTTGCCGGGGGAGGATGAAGGGGACCAGCTGGCCTGTATGATCGAACTGTTGGGCATGCCCTCCCAGAAACTGCTGGATGCTTCTAAACGAGCCAAAAATTTCGTGAGCTCCAAGGGATACCCCCGCTACTGCACTGTCACGACCCTCTCGGACGGCTCTGTGGTCCTCAACGGAGGCCGCTCCCGGAGGGGGAAACTGAGGGGCCCGCCGGAGAGCAGAGAGTGGGGGAACGCACTGAAGGGGTGTGACGATCCCCTCTTCCTTGACTTCTTGAAACAGTGTTTAGAATGGGATCCTGTGGTCCGCATGACCCCCGGCCAGGCGTTGCGGCACCCCTGGCTGAGGAGGCGGTTGCCAAAGCCCCCCTCTGGGGAGAAGACGGCGGTGAAAAGGATAACTGAGACCACTGGTGCTATCACTTCCATTTCTAAGTTACCTCCACCTTCCAGCTCTGCTTCCAAACTGAGGACTAATTTGGCACAGATGACAGATGCCAACGGGAATATTCAGCAGAGGACAGTCTTGCCAAAACTTGTTAGCTGAGCTGAGTTCCCCCCCCCATGCTGGTAATCTGAAAGATACAATGCGGCTGAGCCTTATTGGGTTGCAAAGGAGTAGTAGCTCAGACCCGTTTTTATTTGCTCAATAACTTGACTCATTTGTATCTCTTCAGCACTTATTTTAATGTAAGAAAGTCATTTGTTTTGTTTTTATAAAATACATGGGGACAATGCTTTAAGTTTTTATACTTTCTGAAGCTGTTTTTTTTTTTCCTCTGTGTGTGTGTGTGTGTGTGTGTGTGTGTGTTCTAAAAGTACAATAAGCCTTACTGTATTTGGTGTGGCAGAGTAATAAACATCAGTGGCAGGCCATTGATCCCTTCATGACTGCCATGCATCTACAGATTGGTGTCAGAGACATTCACTATGTTTTTATGGTTCCTAGTATCTTCTCCTCCAGGTGACTGCCCCCAAAGACCCCCTTCTCTCTCCGAGCTCAAGACTCCTGCACAGGTGTAGCATGTCCTGCCTCTGTTTCCCGTAGGTTATCTGGGTGGTAGTTATGGAGGGAGGGAAAAGGTCAGTATGAAAACGATGTTCTAAGAAATACTGCACCTTAGAGATTTTTTTCCTCCTCTGAAGTAAGTAAATCATGCTCACAAACAATGAAATTCCCAAGGTTTACCTGACGAGTTAGCATTCTGACGGTCTCAGAGCTGGCCAACCAGGCCTAGTGGATAAATGGTGGAAAAGTGTGTGTTCCTCTAAATCTAATAGGGTCAGCGAGCTGTTTTGTAAAGAAGCCTCACATTACAGAGTTGGTCTTGCACCTAAAATTAGAAATGTGTTCCATGAACTGTTCCTCCCCTCTCTGTGCTTTTCTCCTGTTACTCTCTTACCACACATCTGTGGTTTGCATTTAGTTTTTTGTTTTTTTTTCTTCCCTTCACATAGATATCCCAGACTGTTCATACAGAAAAGAGACATTTCAGCTATGATTATGACCACCGTTTCATATTCCAATATAGAAAGAACAGCAGCCTAGCTGCGTAAGATGGGGATTTCCACAGTTCCAAAGAAGGTTTAACAGATTAGCATGAGTTCCTACTTGCCAAGTGCCACTGTAGGGTTCTCTTAGCCTGGGAAAGTATCAGTTCTTTCTTTAAAAAAAAAAAAAAAAAAAAAAGGAGGGGGGGGGCTTAAAATCCTTTTGAACAGAAGTCATTGTGGCTGTTCTGCAAGGTCAATTTGAACAACAAATTAAAAGGAGGAAAAATCTGACCTCAAGTTAAATGGTTTGATTTAGTCTTTGAATCAAACCATTCTTACGAAGAACCACAGAGATTGCATTCTCCCTTTCATTTTCCTTTCGTTTGGATTGCACTGATTGTGTTCGTGAGAATGACACTTTACCTGGAAAAGTAACAAGAGTTAAAAATAAAAGAATATTTTCTTCTCTGAATAATTATTTTCACAGTGGAAATTTCAGTATTTTATCACTAATGTATGAGCAGTGATATATATCAATTGCAAGGCACGTGAGAAATTCTTAGTATGTGCAATTAAATATAGGAAGATGTCTGCCTGTTTGGAAGTAGGTTTGGGTAGTAAAAATTAAAGTAAATACTCCTTTATATGCACAGATATTATTGTATTGCCTGTAAATTGGTTTATAAGTACTTAAAGCATGGTCCCCACTGAGGCCAAGAAAGTTTCCGGTTAATTTTTTTTTTTTTTTATATTAATCCTAGTGTTTCTCTTACTTAAAAAAAAAAAAAGTAGTTTTGAATAAAATACTTTTCTTATTTTGAGGCTTTGTCAGTTGATGGTGGAGAAAAATGCTCAGGAAATACTACGAATATTTGCCAAAAAAAAAAACAAAACAAAACACACAAAACACAAACCAGTAATAAGATTAGCTTATTAATATGATAATGATGTTGATGTTTGCTTTACTATTTAAGGGTGTTGCTGATAAATTAACTTGTACTTCTGTATTTAAAAATTACAGCTTCTTCCCCCTAGTCAAATTCTTTACCATGTTGTACACATTTCTGTGGAATCTGTGGAAGCGCAGTGTTAGTAATTTGCATTCTAACTGATGCTCATGTGCTGATGCTCCCAATCAGTGGCCTACAAAGATTTAAGGATTAAGTATTTATTATTAAAGTTTCAGCTGAAAGGCATAAGAAGAGTCAGACGTGGTGTGATGGCTTTGTGAACTCCACAAGCCTCTTGGTGATGGTTAGCTTCTTTAGGTCATTAAAATAAGAACATGGAGGCTGTTTTCCCTTGCAGCGCTCCTCTCCTGAGTCCAGTCTCAGCTCCATGTTTAGTGATGTCTATGAACCTGAGCCTGCCGTTCATACGAATTTCTCTTAAAATGATTAGTATTCATGTGAAAAGTCATAAATGTGCTAATACTGTTTGTCTCCCCCCACCACACAAAACTGGTTTCGAACACGTCAACATTGTGACTTCCTTTATTCGCAAATGTAACCGGAAACTTTTAAGCCAAACTAGGATGTGCAGCGCTATGGGGCTCTCCCTGACCCCACCCCCCACCCCCCACAATATAATGAAATTTATTCACAAGAGCCACCCTGTTCAGTGTTTAGTGATAGAGCCACATTTCAAAATGTCTAGCTTAATTATAATGTCAAAAAAGAGGAAAAACGTTGCATCTTTGCAATTTTAACACATCAATAACCGAAGGGCTCTCTCCTTAGGCTCCTAGGGGTTGGCTTGGAAACAGCCCTTGGCCTCACAGGTTACCATGGTCTAGGGATGCCAGAGCTGTTTTCAGATTTAGGAAAAGCCCCGTGTGTCCTCTTGTCTTTGGTTGCAGCCTCATCTGGCTCTGCTTCTTGCACCACCAGAGTGGGCATCCCCACGTACGTGAGTTGCTACAACAGTGGAACGACCGTGATGCGAGACAGTGTAGGTTAATGAACATAGAGGAGAAATCGTGCCCTTAGTCTTAACAATGTGCCTTTTGTTCTGAATGCCATGTTGTAAGGCATGCATATTTTTTTGGCCTCTTTTAACTCTGAGTACTGGGCAGGAAGGATGGAACCCACCTCTGCAAAGATACATCTGTCTTAAATACCCAGCTACTTCTAGGCCTTAATAGAAACCATAAGGCGGGAAGCATCACCAGGCACTGAGGAAGGTAACCACTGCTTAGTTACACGGGGATTCCTATGTGTAAGGGTTAAAGATGGCCTTTGTTGGATCTTAACATCAGACTGAATTTTTTTAAATGATACTTTTTTGTTGTTATGCTAATACTAGACAAAAAAAAAAAATCGACTCTTTGTAAAAATTTACCTCAAACCCATTTGATTTTTCTAGTGTGACTAATCCCAGGGCATTTGGTATGAACCAAAGTGCATTCCTTTTCTATGTGCCTGGCTCTAGTGACGATGGCCAGGGATTTTTACAATTTGGGTGCAAGGCACTTAAGCCACTTTTACACTTAATGGGTGGTTTGGAGTCAGGTTCAAGGACTCCATCAGAGTGTTAGGAACACTTTAGGCATCGGTAGCATTGGGCCATATTGGAATCTTAAAAAAGTGTGAATTATTTTAAAAGAGCATTCATTTTTGTAATTTTTTTTTTCATCAAGAATATTTCTGGTAAGCAGAAGATGTTTAAAAAAACACACACACACACAAAATCTGAGTTGGTAAAGGTTTTAATATTGCCCAACATAATGCTGTGGTAGCATTAAAAAACACACACACAAAAACAACAGTATTTGTGAACTCTTGTTTCTTAGGGGCTGTGTATCTACCTGCTATGGACATATATAAAGTTAATTGTGATTATACTCAGCTCAACTGCTACAGTTCTGTCTAGGCAGGGGCTTGGGTTTACATCGAGCAACAACTTAGACACGTGACTGTAATATGCTGCAACTGTGTGTACTGAAAATATGTGAAAACGGTTGAATGTGGACTGTGTATATATGTATGTAAACATTTTCTGTGAGATGCTGCTGTCGCCACTTAACATGAAATATGTTCTGGTGGATTTTAATCCTAGTGGCCAGTTCTATGATACTGTATGTATTGTACAGCTGATGACAGGAGTAAGACTGTTCAGTGACTATTTGTTAAATTTTATTGTCGTGGCCAGAGATAATTTCAGAATAAAATTTTAATGTCATACCTTACTTCTCCCCTTTGCTAACTATAATTTTACTCCTGATCTATTTGTGGTATCCTTGGTCCAGTAGCCTAAAGAAAGTAGAGGAGGCAAATATTTTCGGCAACAATGGATTTCTTATTCGTTGTTAACGTGCACACTCCAACACTCCCCAGCGGGAAGGACTAAACGTCGTGGGCAACTCTTGCTGGACAACCCTTGCTTTTCTCTGAATATTCTATCCCTTTATCCTATGTTAATTTTCCTTTATCTAGCCTCTGCCACATTCTCTATTGTGCTAGAGCTTCAGATCTTTTTTTAAACCTTCAAGGTGACAGTTAAACTGGGAGCAGAGTCTGTAAATTAATCCCCACAGCCTTCACTCTTTTCTTATGCACAGTTCTGGTGAATTATATGCTCTTCCTAGCTCTCCCATATGCTTTCGAATGCTTATGCTGCTGCAGTTCTTGGTGGTCTCTATGGTTCACATTTCTGGGGGTTTTAGTGTCTCCGTCTATCACGGCTGGATCAAAAAACAAGGCCTGTGAACTGCAACTAGCTCATAATTTGTCAAGTTCAGTTAATACCAAGCTTAGAGTTTACTTACAGATAGATGACAGCAAGCAGATGCTCTAGTAATTTGTCAGACATTGCAAGGGTGTATTATGTACACAAATATTTCTCTCTTGTGTCAAAAACTACCTCACATTTTTATTTACACCCCCCAGCCACCAACAGCCAGAGGATGACTTAGTGTGGCTTCCTGCAGCGGACGTGGGGTTTGCTAAAACAAGACCATACTGTGGGAATTCCCAAACCCACACATAGCCTCTTAGCCTAGGCCACAGACTTCCATTCTCGCTTCTCTTGTTACTTAAGAGTTCTTGTCCTGTGAAAAAATACCAACCAACCAACCAAAAAACTAAGAAACTATGCATAGAGAAACAAAGTTTTAAGAAATGCACTTAAGGTATAACATTGAAACTTGGTACTTAAAGCAGCAACTTAAAGTTGATTGTTCAGATCTGACTTCCCCCAGATCTGGTAATAGTTCCTACTCATATTCTCTCTCTCTCTCTCTCTC